CACCACCACCACCACCACCACAACACGAGCACGAACCACCACGACGACGACGACCATGACCACCACGACCACCGACCACTCACTAGCAGACAAACGTGTTTTCCAATCGGCAGATTTTTTTATGTGATTGGATATCTGTGGTGATCCGGTTTTGCGTATCTCATATACTCTGAATACTAGGAGTTACTAGGATCTGGGATTCGGCCTGCCCACGGCTGGAAAGTAATTGCTTGTAAACCAAAAGCAGCGAGATCTCCGACGAAGACAACCTGATCTTCGCCAGCGAGCCTTCCGACAGTGTCGACAGCGAGGCACGCATTCCCAATCCACTGCCTTGTCATATTGTCTTTCCGGGAAAGATTACGAGCTGTGCAATGTTCTGCTCCTGCGAAATCCAATGCCTCCTTGTGTCTGGAGCACCTTGCTGACCGAAAGGTTGACAGCAAGCTCACAACATTGCTTCTCGAAAACATCCTGCAAAGACGGGCATCGTGCCATCACATCTTCACACCTGACAGACCAGAACAGAACACTTCAGTACCTTCGCCATGTCGTGGATGGATTTCGCTCCGCGGAACTGTAGATAACTTAGCCGGGACCACGGCACCGAAACCAGCGAGTCCACTGCGCAGCATCCCCGAGATCGGGCAGCCAGCTGACAGATGCAAAAAGGAGCAGCGAGCTGAGAGGGAGTGGATCCAGCTTCTGCGAGGCCCGGGAAGCCGTGGCTCCCGCCCTTCTTCCATCCTCCGACAGGCTCAGGGTGAAGGCCTCCAACGAAGGCTATGGCGGCTATGGCACGCTGATGCGCGCTGTGCATCGCTTTGCGGCAAGTGGCCCAGCTTGGCATCCGGCAAGCGGCAATCGCCGAGAGGCACTTGGAGACAGAGACTTCCTGGCAAGCTACTGGAGTCCGGTCAATCAACACAGCCTGGCATGCGGGCACCTCCCTCTAGAGACACGGTCCTGGAGCACAAGGCATGATCATGAGCAGTCGTTTTTCCTGACTTTTCTGACCAGCCTTTGATGAACTCCGGCTTGCAACTGCTCTCGCAGGTGAGCCCTGACGACCTTTTCTCTCAGAAGGACTGCGCAGTTCAGATAATAAGCTCGTGGGAAAAGTTTCCCAGCCTTCGGCCGGCTGAGGTTTCTCCGCAGCCTGGCAAGGCATTTGTACTTGTTTCTCGCTGCAAGACTTCAATAATCTTCAATAAGAACCTTAAACTCGACTTTGGGCCACCTTGTCAACAAAGGCGACCGCTACAATCAAGATGACCCCCCGCCTGATAACTCTATGCAAACGTGAAACTAGGAAGATTGGAAACGGATGATTTTTTTATCAATTCCACTTGTTGTAGAGCTGACTTGTTCAAAGTGTTTCCGTCTCGTGCCCCCTTTTGTCTCGTTGGCGTGGCTTCAACTACTTCCAGCGCGCTTTCTTATTTTCCGCTGATTGAAAATCTTGTTGTTGTTTCCTTTGTGTTTTGCAAATTTCTGGATTTCAGATCTACTGGACCTGGAGAAATCAGACACCCAAGTTCAAAACAGATGATAAAACTGGAAAACCACGAATCAGAGAGCATCCACGCGTCAGATCATGATATGAAATCAAGACCCGGTTGACAAGATAGATGCCAGCCCCCGGAGTTTGCTGTCCAGGCATTCTACCAGCTTCGTGCACATTGCTCTGCTTCCGGATAATGCCGCGAGAGTGAAATGTCATGTTGGTTTCATATGGTTCCATTTCTCCCATGCCGCATTTCATGTTTCGCGTGCACGATTTCCAATGGCAATCTTCGGAAAGGCCCGGGCATCTGAATACTAGCGTCAGCCCCACCCATCCTGCTTGGCCTTTATGGCCTCCAGCAGATTTGCATCCTCACTGAGTTCCAGCCTTTGTGGGGGAGAGCTGTGAAGCCTCACAGGCCCTCGAACGGTGTAAGATATGCACAGTTCACTGTTGCTTGCAAGACACCACAGAAGTAGACCCCCTCGAGTCCGCAGTATCGCCCAACCGGCCTGAAGTTACCGAGCCGACAGTTCAGACATCTTCAACAGATTTGAATCACACCGAGGTCAAGGCCAAGACATGAGTCAAACGATGCCGACGAGTTGCTGGCACTGCGAAAAGCTCCTCCCCATCAACGTAGCGAACCGCCGGCGAGAACGGTGCCTGCCACAGCCAGCGAGTTGCCGGAAACGCGGTGAGCACAGCGTGTGCTTACAAACTTACACCGCGGTGCGCGTCATCCAACTGACGGCTGGTACTGTGCGAAGCTACTGCCCCCAGTCGGTGCTTTTCTGTGCTGCTCGATACGCTCCTACTCGTTCCAACGCAGGCATGTTAGAGAATTGCCAAGGGAATGTCCGGATGTTTACAGGTCTTACAGACATACTAAGCAACACGTATCATTCAGGGTCGCCATGACAACCGGCGCGGGACTGAGCCCACAGTGGCTGAACTCAATTACAGAACGAGTAATGGGATTTTAGGGCGACAGGATCGCCAACCTCAGGTGATGTCATCGGCGGAGCAAGATCCCCAACACCAAAGTCAAGCCCCGTTTCTCGAACAGCTGTCGAATCTAGCGTTGGTAAGACCCACACATTCTTTAACTTGCCCACAATGTCCCTATTTCTCTGTTTGTTCAACACGGTTGTGTGCCTAGCCGCGACTGACAACATAAAGCATAACGAAAGATCTGATGGTTCTGAGCAAATGAAGCTACAGCCATTGAGTCACTGGGCAACTGCACCGGCTGTGCAGCAATTGCTCGGTTCCGGCTTCTAAGCTGTACGAATATTCGTGCGAAAGCCTGATACAGGTAGACCTTGCACTTTGCACATCGCGTTCCAGAGAGCCTCAAGCAAAACAAAGCCGTGCTCGGACAGCCCAAAAAGGCAGTTTGAGCTTCGGACAGTAGGTCGAAAGTCGGCCTGGCAAACACGAGTGTGACTCGACCATTACGCTTTTGCCAAGACGAACATAGTCAAATGTGGCCTTGTCTTGCCGCTTGTGGCTGGACTCGTCTGCTCCTCGAGCGCTGAAGGATGGCCATTAATTATGCCGTGCTCCAGTGCGTGGTTAGAGAAAGCGCACTTCTCCTAAGCACCTCACATTGGTGCCGGGCGGCCCTGCGCCATCCACGGTCTGCCTGACTGCTTGCCTCGAGGCCACCGCAGCCGTCTCCACCTCACAGCATCAAAAAGAGAGACTCTGTTGCTTTTATTACATGGCACTTCGGCTCGAGTCATGCGCTCGCTGAAGTGTTTTCCCAACCTCATCTCTAAAGCGTTCGCAAACTGTTCACATGGCCCCAAAGCCCGATTTCAGCATCTTCCACTCAGGCGGCGGCGGATTGGACGACGTGAGCTCCGGGAAGCAAAGCACTGAACCTTTATCTTTGCCATTCTTTGCCAAGAGACGAACCCCCGGCTCAGAAAAGCCTATCATGACTCATGTTATACATATCACGCTGTGTCACATCGTCTGGCAGCCGAGGGTCAGGCGAGGATGGAATTGTAGACATCTTAGATAACAGAAGGTCTGGTCGCATGACAAGTGCTTGCCCACGACCCATGCAGAGAGCGCGAAAGGCGCAAAGCAAGCCATCGCAAACCGACCAAATGCAATATCCCTGGCTCTAGACAGATCAGAATCTGGGGCCGGCACGGCCGGCACATGCACTTGTCTATGAGCTGTTGTGGGTGAGGTGCCAGACACCTGCGTGCCGCGTGCAGAACTGCGTCACAGCTGTCATTGCATAAGAGCAGCCTGTGGAGCATGCAGCTGGAGCGAGAAAGGCTGTCTGGCAACCTTGGCAAGACACGTGGACATCGAATGCACGAAGGTGATCGAGTTCATCGATGTGGTGCATGTTGCGAGGCTTTCGCGGGCTGCGCAGCATAGGTCACACTCGGCCTTTGCCACCATGTCACCCCTGTGAGCACTCGCAAGCACAAATATTGGGAGCTCAGCCAAAAGTACTGCATCGTCCCAGGGACTGCCTTCCAAGAGTCTCTTTCAACATTTTAAAAGGTGCTCAGCACGTCAACCCAAAGAAACAACAGACGACAGGAGCCAGGATCTGGCCTGCGTGGGCGACAATGCACTCAGAGGCGTCAGAGGGGCAGATGTAAAGCGCACAGCTCGCTGATTAAGTCCTGCAAAGCAGTCACATACATTCAAACACCTTGTGCCGGAGCTTCACACCTGTCCTCCAGGAAGCATGCACGGTGTTGAAACAGGCGTCGACCACCTCACCTCCACGGCATGCCAAGATGCGAATGTAAAACACCAACAGCAAAACCCCCTGGAGCTCCACCTCAGAGGCATTCTCCAGTGAAGTCCCTTCGAGCAAAGCGCATCACGCCGCTTCATCTTCAGGCAGTTAGCCCAACCGAGGCAGCAACCATGCTGAGCCTGTCATAAGACGCGCCAATGCCAAACATCACAGGATGGTAGAAGTGTTCTTTTAGCCTTAGTCACCACTACACTAGTACTCTGCGAGCACTCCTACGTCAAATTTCTCCGCAACGCTGCGCGCCTTGGCAGTCTCGACCGCAGAGCGGAGTTCCGAGCATCGCTGCCTTGCTCGAGGCACGGCACTTCCGGAGCCACACAAAAAGCTGCTGCAAGAGCCCACGCAGCCAGCTGCAGCAACTTGCGTGTCTCTGCGATGTCCTTCACACGAGCTGCATGCCTGCGTTAGCGAGAAGACAAAGCAGGCTCCTGCGAAGTGTCAGTATCGTCTTGCGAAGAGGTCAGTGCCGCCATAGCCACCGGATGCCAGCAGACTCTACATGATGGCGGGTTTCAATTCACTGAGTCATAGATCGTGACTGTTGCCAAGCAGGTGCACGAGCACCAAAGCTGGAAAAGCTGAACTTTCTCTTGATACTCTCACAGCTGGATGCATTCGCCCACCGATCCAAAGCCACACTGCTAACCCCACATACCCCACAACTCGGATTATGCTCGCGGATGCTGGCGGCGGCACTGCCTCAGTCGTCTCGTTGGCACATCGCCTCACATGAGTTAACAAGACAGGTTTGCTTTCTCCTGGCTTGTCATGGCAGCATGCTGCACCATGTCACACAAAATACTGCGGGCATCGGAACAGGTTGCCTATGTTGACTGATGCTGCTTGCGACACAGCTCTACGGGATGCTCTCATGCTTTATGTCTGCACTTACCATGTCTCTGCATGTGGGATTCGCCTCTCATCTTGTTGGAAAAATCCAGGCTTCGACGCGCTTGCCACAGGCATGCTGCGCTCCTCTTGGACACGCCTCCTGGAAGACTACAAGGTTTGTGTCGGAGCTGGGCAACATTTACTCTAGGCAAGCCCGGACGGACGTGTGCTGTAATGACCACTCGGGCACGCCTTGCTGCTCCTTTGCCCATGCCATCCGTGTCATGCGACTTTGGCCTGTGCAAGGACTCACACGAACACCATGTAGTCTCGCGATCTCTTCCTAGGAGAGTGTCATTCTAGATATTCTAGTTACTCTGGAGTCTTGCGCATGGACATGTGCTCAAAGGCCTTGCAAGTGGTTCGCTGATGCCATCTTCGCATGGTGGCAAAGACACCTTTGGAAGCGTCTTTTGAAGCTCACGGAGATGGCCGAGGCATTGGATTAGAATCAGAATATCACCGAAGCTGCTGTCTTCGCAGTATAGAAAAGGAGATTGGCTCGCTGTTCCTTCACTCAGCATTTGGGTGCTGCACCATGACAACATCGAACAGCAACTTGGCAAATTTGCTTTCGTAAAGCCGAATAAGCAGAGCTTTTCAGCACACTTTCCCAAAACCACCTTGCTCACTGTACGACTTACAAGTCACGCACACAAAGCCCAGTGGTTCTGCTCCTTGACCACGGACCATGGCACTTCTGACACCTGGTCGTCGTCCACCCGGTGCCACCTAATTTCCAGTGGCTCGCGTCTCATACAGATACTCAGACGACAACTTGCAAAAATGTCACTCTGGGTACCGTGCAAGCCCCCTTGTCTGTCTTTGACCTGGCAAGTCTGCTAGACAGTCCCTACGCAGACACACATCTCCACCGCAGCTAGCCAACGGCTGAGAACCTTGCAAAAGCAATGTAGTGTCCAAAGAAGGTCGAACCATTGAAATCCTGGTGTACCTGTGGTGACTGAAGTGCGAGCTGCTCGCAGCGATCCGCCTTGAGGGCACAACGATCCCATAAAGTTGGTAGCTTCCAGAGCAGCTCTCCTGGTCACTGGTTGGCCCTTCTTCGTTCGGCTCTTTTAGCTTGAACTGAATACATGGCATCCACGTTGGGCATCCCATCGATTGTTCAAGAACGTGATGCCGAGATGCAACTGGAGATTGTCGTTTCGAGATGTCGCACATTGCAGCAGGACTGCATACAAACGGCTTTTTGCACTCAGAGTCACGGCCTCCACGAAAGGTGCAGCATCAAGTTCTTGAGGGAACCTGTCCAGCTGAAGATGGACTCTATGACAAACCCTTGCACTTGTAGGCAGAGGCAGGCTCGCGCATAGCAGGCCGAAAAAAATTACCTGTTGTCTCGTCAATCTGGACGCATGTTTGCTTCGCATTTCTCACGATTTCGCAGAACTTTCCAGCTACTGATCAGGCCCTAGGCAAAGCTCCCTTGAGTTGTCTTGGGTTGCCCTGGTCCTTAGCATGCTTTTCAGGTCAGACTCAAGACTCGGTATCATGTGCTGCAGATTTTACTGTCGAAATCCAATGGGCCAATGAAGAAGCAAATCAGGAAGACTTGCAGATTCGTTTGCCTGTTCGCTACAAAAACTGACATGGATTTGCCACAATATGCGACAGGAATGGCCAGTGTTCATCCTACCGAATTTCGATTTTCTACCGGCGGTGTAGAGGGGGCAAGGTACTCGGTCCCCTCCATCCCTGTCGGAGAATGCCGAAATGCCGAAGAGTTAGTTTCACAGTCGACGCTTTCCGAAAACCAAAGCCTTGCAACCTTCGCAGGCCTTGGGTGTGTGCGCGGAACCACGGCTCAAGGCATCCCAGGATCAATAGAGATCAATAGAGCAGCAGATTTGCCCACGTTCCTGAACCCCGAGAAACACAGTGCGGAGGCCTTCGGCCATGTAAAGAGTTTTCCGTGTCAGTGGCATTGTCACGCCAGGAGGCGAAGTGGAGGGGACGGAGGAAGCGAAAAAGTCGCAGAGGGGTCCTCCGGCTTCGTGACAGAACAAGACGATTGGCTGCCAAGTTTACGGATGAGAAGCAGCTGCTGCAGATTTGTCCGTAAGACCTGTAGCCGACGGAGGTGTGGTGGAAGCAGAAAGGGCTTTTAGGACGGATGTCGGCTGGCTGGTCAGTCGTTCCCGTCTCGCCGTGGCTTCAGCAAACTACGAAGTCCCGACATTGGGTGAATGTGGCTTGAAGCTCGCTGAGGTCGTTGACAAGGTTGCTTGGCAAGATGGTCGTGGCTGGAGAGAATTCCAAACAGAAGCTACCGCTCTCGGTGTCATCCTCGAGGGTTGGGGGGGGGGTCCGAATCTGATTTAGATTGAGTTAGAGTGCACAGTTGGCGGCACGGGAATAGTACGTGAACCAATGGCATACCGTCGGTTGCTGGGTTATCTTACTGAGATGACCATATGGAAAGATGTCCACAGACCGACCTGGTCCTCAAAAAGACCAAATGAAGCCAAAAAGGAGGAGTGCCGGGCTTTCCACTGACAAGACGGAGGAGAACTTCCTGGAGGAATGTTTACAGCACTCCGACGGTCACTTGGATCTGAAAAATTGCGACGGTGACCATCAGTGCACCCCAAGTGGTTGCCAAAGTTGGTTTCCATTCAATCAGCGTCGGCGAAGTAACACGAAAAAGAATGAACCCGTCGCTGTCACCATAACACTGCCCCTCTAAGCTCTGTCTTCCTTTCTGCAGGTTACAAAGAAGGGTCGCGCCGCACGGCGCGATTGATCTTGCCGAACCGGCTGGAATCCTGACAAAAAATCATGCTTGAAGAGGTGGTGCCATGCTCTGGAGCTGCGGCCTGCCGCCGATCGATGTAAAACACGAGGTTGCTCGGTGGGCGTTTGATGTATGCGCTTCGCATACACCCCGTCCTGCAGAACTGCACTCTGTTGAGAATCTGAGCCGCCTGAGCCTGAGTTCGCTGCTGTCTGCACTTCTCGCACTTGTAGCCGTCGATACGCTCCAGCCTCGCAAGTCAGCTCGCGCAGCGAGCGCCGACGAAAGCACGGCAGCAATGCTACGCAATGCTGCGGTGCTGCGGCCTGGAGAAGTTTCTGAGCAACTCTTCCAGAGTCGTCCCGGGAATGTCCTTGATGGTTTCCTTCCCCTTGCAGCTGGACGGTCCCAAGTGCTGAGTACCCGGCAGCCCGAGAGAATCCACCACCACTGTAACCAGAGTGCCTCGTGCAACCGCGCCAAACGACTGAAGCAGGAAATTTGAGCAAAATATCTGTAGAACGAGCGTAAAGTTGAAGTTCATGAACTGTGCGGGCAGCTCCGGATTTAGATACGGCTTCATCAAACTTGTCGCGGGCACGGCCTCGTGGCGTGCGTCGACAGGTCTCAAGTAGTGGGTCGAATTTTGCACGCAAACTTGCTGCTGTACATGATCAGCAAAAGCCGCTGTTCCTTTGGAACACGGCATGTCGAGCTACCTCAGAATCAGGAAAATGCAGGAAACCAGACTTCAAGCGAGAGAACCACTAGTCCTTGCTGACACAGCCGAGGCACGCTGCAGCGCTATTCGAGCGAAATTGTTGAATAGAGCAGAGGGCATCCGGCTCTACCAGCGTTCTGTATAGAAACCTTTCGATGCGAACACCCGTCCGATGAAGGTGCCAAAACAGCTTGTCTATTGCTGCTCAGTATCACAATCCCACTGGAAAGCGTCATGGAAAACAGCATCCTCAGGAGATCAGAATGCAGCGGAGAGTGGTAGGGTCTGTAACATCTACACTTGTCTACATACAAATGTAGAAAATATGAGACGAAGTGGGAACGCAGCCTGCTAGATCCGGAATACACAACTGTCCAATCGATTGCGAGGAGGATGTGAGGAGGCGACCCTTTCCCAAAGGCCTGCAGGCTCCGGTACCAGTACACATTGCAATAGGAGAGTCAAGGCATGGGAAAGGCGTCCACTCCAGCGATGGTTTAAAAAGGGGAAACCTGCAATATCACCTGACTACTCGCTTGTAATAACATGAGATCTCGTAAGACGCACGGGTTGCATGGCATGCCGGACAGCAGAGGACTAAGCTGAGCTCTTGGGATTTCGCAGAACTGAGCTCCCCTGTTGCGACTGCCAAGGTTGCGGCACGATCACGAAAACGATCTCATAGAAGGGAATATCAGGGCAGCCCCTGTCAGATGGCTCCCGGCTCCCCAGTATCTCTCTTTGTATCTCTCTCTCTCTCTCCCAGGTGGGGAGCCTAGGGTGCCTCTCTCTCTCTCTCTCTGTATGTCTCTCTCCCTTCTGTCCTCTCCCTCCCTCCCTCCCTCCCTCCCTGCAGCCCTCCCTCCCTCTCCCTCTCTCCCTCTCTCTCCCTCTCTTGCT